ATGCTTATGATAGATAGGCTGCAATTTTGCAATCCATTTTCTCCATCCCAATGTTGATCTTTATGTTCTCCTATTTTACCAATGTTTTGTTAGGGATGTTTTCCTTTTCTCTTTCAAGTCGCTCTTTGACTACGATTTGTAATAGACATTAAACTAACTCAGCAATAGCATTGACCATAGACTAGACATAGACTACACTGCTTTTAATCATGCTTTGCTATATTTATTTTTGGGTATTGGTTTTACTGACATTGGGGGTATACTTTATCCATTTGTACAGCATACACATCCATCATCTTCATTGATTATGGAAGCAATATTAACTTAGTTTATTGTCACTCTCGTTAAATTGCATTGGGTACAAGATACAAGATTAACTTTACATTTCACGCAAATATTATTCCTTTTTCATTGAATTTACTAAGCAGTAATCCTGATCACTCCTGATGATGAGTTGAGAGTGTTGAAGATTCCATTGCATGTCCTCTATGTAGAAGTGAGGGAATGGTAGAGTGATTTGTAGCTGTAGTGTTTGGGGGTTATAAATATTCAAACTAGAGTATTTTTCATATAGGATTAACTGCTTGTCCGACCATAGATTTTCATGGTTGAAGAATTGTGTGTATGTGAAAGGATCGAAGTATTTGATATTGTCTTTGTATCTTTTCATGTATAAATTTCCATCTTGGTTGAGTATCTATAGGCATTGAATTTTATGATTAGCACAACCTACGTTCAACAATGATGACGTCACATTGATTGTATCCAGTTATCGTTGTCTTACTGCTATATGGTCTCCATTTTCCAGTAGTAGCAAAAGACCCTATAATGAATTGAATGGAATGTAACGATCAGCTATGGACTAGAGTAGAGCTCCTTACATAATCAACTCATTACAGTCGTTGTCATCCTCCTTCCAACTCATTTCCATATTGACACTGCGATCATTATGACTTACCATTGCTAATACATTAGCAATCATTTCGGCATGTTTATCTCCCCATACATCAACTAATTTTTCTTTCTTCATCCGAAGAGGCGAATGTTCAATCTTATGAGGGTTATAATTCATCATTATTTTACAGATTAATCCTTCCTCCCCTTGGTAGTCAATATTTTGCAGTAATTGATATTCACCATCCCCAAACTTGTAACACTACAATAAATTCAAGTTGGAAATGTCGTTAATGGTCGTCTCCATTTGCAATAGACGTCAAAGTCGACATTCAAGGCTATTTTCGACATGAAACTGAACAGTCAATTTATAGACGGTTCCACTTTAGAATAGAGATTAAATGGAAATAAATTATTCTAGCTTACTTTCAAGCTATCATCTTCCTTTCTTTCCCAAACATAAAGATAATCATCATCAACATACACAACACCAACTAGATGACTCCATGTCAGTCGATCAACGCTCTTCATTCCGGTTGTAAGGTTAATAGTTATTATCCAGCTATTGAATGAGGAGAATATCTGAAATAAATCAATTAATTAATTCGACCAATTGACCTCCAACGTAATTGTAAAATCAGTTCAACAACTTCTCATGTTAGCTAATAAGCATTCTCATTTTCACCATCTTCTTCTAAATAATACTACCGTCATTTTCATACAAACTTCAAACATATTTTCAACATACAGGAAAGAGAATGAGTGTGTTATCCTTCTTTCTATATCTGAAGTGTATCAAATCTTTAGCAGCCGATTCTTCTTCAAGTATTCCATTGATTAATTCCCTGTACTTTCCATAATCTTCTATACCTACAAACTCGATCAGCTGCAACCAATCAATATTATTCAATTCAATTCAATTGAGCAGAGGATTGAACAAAGTCGATAGAGCTACTAGTGCTGATGAAAGCTTAACCTACGTCGAATATGTTGACGGTAGTTTGGGGGTTACGTTGGGGTCTACCAACATCAACTGATTTTGTTTGAGAGATATCTTGCCAAGCAATTTTATCGCATTAGTTTAATAAAAACGATTGTGACCATGAATGAATGCATGATTAAATTAGAGTTGTTGTACAACCATCATGTCTTACCTTGTAAATTATATTCATATACATTACGTGCATGATAAATAAGCAATCGATGACTACCAGGAATAAACATTGATCGACCAGATTGATCAAGTTCAACACGAGATTGGACTTGACCACCACTCATCTTGAGTATGACTTCCTACATACAGTATACCACAGTATTACAATATAGGACTAATATTACTGCACTATAAAATATTATGCTGATCTACTTTATGACGCATCATGAATATGAGTAACCCAATATTGCACTAACCTTCTTAAAACAGTCAATAGCGATCATTGACTGATCGCCTGATACCAAAATATCAACAACGTATCCAATATCATGTAATATTGGCTGAAATTGATTTTCAAATTCGATATCTTGTTCCATTTTTAACAGACCAATTGTACCACTTTTACTTCTAAACCTGTTATATGACAATATCATATAGGCTGCATCACGGTAGATGCTGATGCGCGTTAAGAGCAAGCCATGTTGAAAATCATTGGTAGCAAAGTACCGACCATCATCCTTTGCATGGATGAAAGCAGGTACTTTGAATGATCGACAAGTCCATTGCTGTGCATTCCACATCTATCCATCAAATTGATACAAATAGCTTTTATCAATTGGATCTAAGAGACGATATTTGACTTTACTGCATTTAGTCAATTGTAGCTTACTTCAATTTGACATTCATTAATCCACTTTTCCGAATCGTCACGTTCATAGTCTTCAAACTTCCCTCGTTGACTTTGATATTTTCTCCACCACAACAAGACACAAACACTATCTTGCATTAGTACCCATCGACAATATTCTATTTTGTATTGGCGTGATATTTGCTTATTTGTAGGTCTAATAAAATTCCCCTCAATCTTCCAAATCTAATAATACACAACACAACAACAGTTGAACGCAACAGTTTTCGATCACTTGGCATGCTTAATTAATATTCGCTTAAACTCATATTCACTGCTAACCCTAACTTCACACAAATTTCTAGAGAGTGTCATAATCACTTGGGTTTGAGATTGAGCAGGGCAAAATTGTACGGAATCAAAGTCAGTCTTAACGTCTTCCCCTTGATCGTTTTGGGCAAAGCTTATTTCTTCATTTTTATCGAGATCGTAAACGATCCACTCGTCCTAAGAATATGAAACAAATCAATGAAAAATTAACTTTACCATCAACTCAATCCTACTCAAATTAGCAATGTGCTACCTTTCTGTTAAATTGCTTGAAGGCTGCAGTCCGACCGTCAGCTGAGATTTCAACTTCTCTAATATACATGCTTGGTTTTGATATTTGAAGCACAGTTTGTGATGTTTGATAATCTTGAATCTATTAAAGCAATTGCGATGGTGAGCAAGACATGAATTGACATGAATGACATGATAGAGTAACGAGTAATCAGCATTGATTTTATTGGCAGTCTATGACTGATTGGATTGTATTTTCAGCACTAGTTCAACGATAGTCCATTCTAATTCTTGGCCTTTGCCGTTTTATGATTGTATACTAACATACCACAATTTGGCAGTCTCGTCTACGATTGTTTTGAGTACCAATTATTTGGCAGTCTTCTTCATTATTGTTTTGAGTACCAATTATTCGCAAAGGTCCAAACTCGGGATTCGAAACTGATATTGACTGATCTCTGCGATTCTTACCGAATACTTTGCATGCATCATAAGTATATTGAGTTGTTGCACTAGTTGAACACCGATTTGCAAGTCAGAATCGACAGTATAGTGTAAATTACAGTAGGTAGTACTGCTATGGATTGATGAAATTGGAAGTAGTTTACTTACCTTGACATCCTCCAATAACTTTTACCATTTCGCACATTTTCCTTAGCTAATTGCAAAGCTCGCTGTTTCATCCAACTATCTGACATGTCAACCCACAAGATCATTTGAATAACATCTCCATCGACTCCATCGAGGCAAGACTGTTGCTGCTTGAGGAGCTGCTTGAGTTGATCGAAATCCTCCCAGTTCTGAATGCAAATTAACCATTAAAACGATATTAGTCAGATTTTGAAAGAAAGCGCTGGAATGACTAGCAGTCGATTTATAATTATAAAATGAGTAGTATTGGCAGTGTTGGTTTTACAATGTCTAGAAGTAACTTGTGGCAGGAGTAATTATGGACAATTGTAAATCAGCTATCAAGACTACTTCACAATCTTCGCCTAGTTACCAAAGTCATGTCTTAGTCCTTAGTAGCAATTACAAGTTTATTTTCTGCCTCAATCTCTTCAGCGACATGATGATGACGGACTACTACCTTATATTCTACTGTACAAGTAACCGAAAAAGTGAAGAGTAACGTGATCAATTCGTCTATGAAGCATAAATAGCATCCCTAACCCAACTCAATAGGACTCTCCATCTTGCTATTATTGTATTGCCGCATATTAATAAGTCATTAAGCGACGGCGTGATCATTTATTACGTTAATCAAAACATGATAAAATATGGACATTAGTAAAAGCGACTGTCCAACTACACTTTAAGCATGCAAATACTTATATAGTGATAAAAATGACGCAGCCCGATTTGTACAAAGTAGATCGTCAGTTTGAAAACTGCAAATACCAATACCAGGTGGCGTAAGTAAGGATTTCTACATGTTATATCATTAATCACTACCTTGAACAATCTACACCAAAAAATGGATGATGGAATCATTTGTACAGTTGTTATTGATCCATGATATACAGAGATGAAAGTAATCAATCTTTTCATTCTATTGAATTAACTACATGAATTCATTATCCAACCTTATTTCTTTTCTTTAGATAGTCAATGTAGTTTGTTAAATCGCAGTCTAGGTAATAGATTGTCCTGTCTATTTGAATTTTACGTGTCATCCAATCGAAATCGGTCATAATACTTTGAAGATACTCATCATTTTCAGCCATTAAAGCATGATAAATAAGATTAGGATAGAAATAGCCATCATCAGGGAAGGTATTCCACTTTCCATCGCACTGATTACGGTAACTATCGATCAACGTTTTGTTTAAACTCTTGCGATAATCTTGATTGGAATTGTGCGAGTAGAGTCGTTGCTGTAGATAGTCGACCATCAAATCGTGTAGAACACATCTTGACAAAGTAATGGAAATCAATGGGATTAATACTATTTACAGTAGTCAATGCAAGGCTATCGATTGTAGCACTGCATTGAGAATAGATACAATTATAGTGTATGTAAAACTATGTATTGAATAGCACTAGCTACTTTAGACGATATCAAATCATAATTTACTATCAAACTAAACAGTAGCTAATAGAAAAGATTAATTAAATAAAAGTAGTTATTGGCTAGTTATCACTAAAAGAGAAAGAGAGCCTTATGGAAGAGGGTTAGAATTCAATTTACTGTGTAGGATATTGTGTGCAATGTGCAGTGTGTATACAAGGCTTGCTTTGTAGACATACATTCGTAGATCGCTTGAAGATGGAAGAGGAAAATAGCAAATGCCGATTGACTACGTTAGGTAAGACAATTTATACTTCTCAATATAATATTTGTATTATTAATGATGGAAGTGAAAGCGTCACAACTTCAAATTTTACTAGTAACCTTAATATGGTGATAATGTTGATTTAGTAGATAAAAAAGGAGACAAAACTAAAAGCGCAATATTATCAACCTACAACTAACGATTGATAT